AAAGTATGGAAAGCTTCTGCCAATCTTGGGTCTAATGAGCCAAAAAAACTATTGGTCCAATTCACAGGTGGTTAGTAATTATACTCCAGGAACACCCACAACTCTAGTAAAGCAAAAATGGGTAGAAAGCCAGACAGCATAAATGGTGACTTTCTCAGTTTTGGTTGTGGAAGGATCTTTTCCCCAGATGTATAATATCTAGTAACCTTTCTATCAAAAATGAAGATTTCTCCTAAACAAAATCTATTTGCACTCAGTACATAAAGAAGCGTGACCAAGATAATGAGAAAAGGATATAAACTGAATAAAGGTTTAAACCTGGAAGCCAGAGAAAAAAGTGAAGTCTGGAAATAAGCATTGTGTAATAACTGCTATATGAATTAATTTCATTTTCAGCATAAGATGTATTTTACTGCAAAAATACTTAAATAAAACTGACTTACTCAAATCACCCTTGTGTCTTAGGTGTGAAATAGGTTAAAAGGTTTTGGCACTGTGTGAATGGACCAAAAACACAGCACGTGCTATTAGCTGTTAAGTACGATGTTGCAAAAATATGGATTCATATTGTTATTAAGGATGATAAGGCTGGCAGAGACCTCCTGAGTCTCCTGCATCTGTAGGTACCCACATCAGTAACCCATTCATAAACTTATCAAGCTCCATCTTCATATTTCTTCTACTTTCTAGTGAAAACGTATCTGTAACTAAACTTTCTCTTATCTTTTCTATTATTTTTGCAATAGTTCTTTTTAAACTTCCTTCTTCAAGGCCAACTACTTTTTCAACACATAGCAAATAGAAAGCAGAACCCCTACAATCCAGGCAAAGTTTATGATCAACTGGACAATGAATATTCCAGGAAATCAAGTTCTCAGCATGCTCCAGAGTTCTGTGGTTTGGTCCTTGACATATATCTAAAATGAACATTTCTAGGAAGACCTTCAAGCACCTTGAAGAATTCACTACATCTAACAGAAACACTACTAAGAAGAAAACCTGAATTAAAAACTTACTGCTTTAGATTTTCTTTTCTTAGGCAACTCCATTATAGGTTTATTTTTCAGCATACAGGTAAGCTCTCTTTGAAAGATACTTAACAAAAGTTGCAACAGGTATGTTTCCAGTCTAGTCTTCCTGTTGTATAAGCACAGAGGTAAACAGGTGATACTATTCCTAAAGTAGCTTCAAAGGCTGTAACTACAAGAAATTCAAGGCATTCTCTTATCCCCCATCCCTTTTAGAGAATTCCTGAATGCATATATTTGTTAGTGATTTTTACTTACTGATTGGTTAAACGTAATCTATCCAGGTGTCTCTGAAGATAAACAAAATATGCCAATCAAAATAAAAAAAAAGTGCCCCAATTCCTTCATTTTAGGTATCATTAAAAAGCACAGACTCACATGACTTTCACCTGGTTTTCTTTAGCATTATATGCCTGGTGATTTCAAAGACAGTATGCTTAATGGCTGAAAACTTATTGGTGCTGGAAATTCATGTGTGAACCTCTCTTCAAAATAAAAATGATATCCAGAATGCATCATAGTGTCTGTTATTCAACCAAGAACTTCTCTTCATTTAACATTTGATGAACCATTGCCACTTTATCTCGTCTCAAGTTTGGAGAAAAAGTCTGTTACCTTCTGAATCACTTACACACTAACTATGTTAGGAGAATCTCAAATGTGCACACTTCAAATAGCAGCTGGAATCTGCTGGTTTGCATGCCTTCCTCTGGCTGCAGTTTCCTACACCCACCCCAGAGGGCAGGACCATGTGGTGCAGCACAGGAGCTGAGGGTGAGTCTGGGCCACTGTAGGTAGGTGGAGGCAGAATCAGGGCCACGTGGGAAGGAAGACTGTGCTTGCATGGGGCAGCAGTTGGGGAGGCATGCATTGCAGCAGGAGGATGAGGACTTGTGCCTATGTGGTGCAACAGAGAGGAGAAAGGCTTTAGTGCAACAGTAGGGGGCACCCAGTGCAGCAGTTGAGGGGAAGCCCAGACAGGTGAGTGGAGCAGCAATGGAGGAGGAGCTGTGTGGCACAATGACCTACAGCTCACCTGGTGCAACCCACGCAGCATGTGGCCCCTGAGGACTAAGAAGTTAGACAGTCCTGACTGGACAGACTGCCAGGATGTTGTGGGAAAATTACCACTAGATATTTCTATTCAGATGATCAGCAATGGAATAGTTAACAATGTTGACATCTCCAGGTTTCAGATTTAACTCACTTAGATTGATATAAACTGGCCCATTCATCAATATTACGATTTTTCCCTCTAGTGATTCAGGGCAACAGCATGAGTTGAAAAATATGAAGAGAACAGACACAGAGACCCCAGCATAAGCTGGCTTAATTCATGCACTTCAGACTAGACAACACAGAGTATTAGAGAACAGAGTAATGAAAGAAAGCATTATACTTCACTGTACTGAATCCAGGTTAGCTGTATATATTATGATATAAGCAAGGCTGACAATTTGAACTAGAATTGTTTTCATTTATTCATTACAGGGGACTTTGTAGTATGTATGAAAGACATTAATGAAGGACAAATGGGCATTTCTGGGTACAATGAAGAAAAAGTGTTCTGAATAAGGTAGGAAGTAGCTTTTGTTGCAGCAAGTTTGCATACTCCCTACTAAGAGCACAAGACTTTTGCACTGCACCAGCTCAAAATTAGAATTCTGGGCATCCATTCAACTTTTATGATTTTGACCATTCCTCTGACAATGGGAAAAGAGTGCCCTGCAATTATTTATTGAAGATATTCCCATAGTATACTTTTTTACAATGCACATTTCCAAAAGAGGCCCTGTGCCTGCAAAGTATCCAAGGAAGAGAAAACTATACTGTATTTCTTTTATTACATTTTTAATGGTTCAACAGGGTAATTAAATGATGTCTCCTCCACCTCCCCCACTCTCAGGGAAGGAGGGGCTGAGGGAGAAAGGATGTTTCTTTAGACCAGTGGGGTAACAAACTAGTCCTGGGGTCCTTAGACAGAAAGGGAAAAGGAGGGAGCTGGACCTTTTACTGTCTAACCCTAACCCAGGATGCATGTGGAGACAGTACCTGAGCAGGAAAGAGAGAATAGTCCTCCATTTTTCTCCCATTGGCTAGGAGGGGAACAGGAGAGTTGAGTGTCTTTGGTGGGTTACACAGTAGGCCTGTGCTAAGCGGCTAGTATTCGCTTTGGATTCGGATCCAGCCGATTTGGGGACAATGATTCGATTTGGTGTTTTGAAAAACTGCCCTGAATCGATTTGGCTGAATTCAATTCAGAGATTCAGAACCTGCCCCGGTTCCTGGCACTTTGAAAAAAAAAGCCTGAACTCAGTGGGTGCTGCCAGGTGGAGGGGCAATCCCCACTGCCCCACGCTGTGTGAGGGGCTCTGCACAAGCCCCCTGACCTCCCCTCCACTGTACCAGCCCCACCCATGGCTGCCCTACTTGCCCCAGCTTTGGCCCTTTAAGAAAAAAAAGACCCGAGAAAAACCCCCACACTCGCCCTTCCTGCCGGTGGGGGTGATCCCCGCTGCCCCCGCCATGTGTGAGGCTCTTCCATGACCCCCCAAAGCCCTGTGGCCGCTGGGAGTCCGGGGGCTTTTCTGTGTTTTTTTTTTTCCTTAAAGGGCCGGAGCTGGCCTGGGCGGGCCGGCCAGGGGGTGGGGCTGGGGGAGTGGGGCTGGCAGAGCCCCCCCATGTAGCATGGGACAGTGGGGGGTAGCAGGGATCACTCCCCTCCTGGCAGTACCCGGTGAGTTGGGCTTTTTTTTTAAAGCACTGGGAGCTGGGGCAGGCAGGGCAGCCATGGTGGGGCTGGGGGAGTGGGCAGGGATCAGGAAGGGGCTGGGGGCTGGCAGGGGTCCTCCTATAGTCTTCTTCTCCCTCCCTCAGCCCCTCCTCCCCCACCCCTAGTACTTACCAGCTCTGAGTCCGGCTGCAGCTCCCTGCTGCAGCCACCGTGGACTGCCCAAATCATCAAAGTTCTCCGAATCTTTGCCAAAGATTCAGAGTGCTTTGAATCAGTTTGGACCTTTTAATTGGTTCCTGGATTTGATTCAGATTTAGAGATTCGGCCACCAAATCAGGCTGAATCTCCTCTGAATTGAATCACCACCCGAAGCTTTGCATAGCTCTATTACACAGCCCTGCTATATGGAAGGCTCTGAAGGTAGGTAGCAGCCAGTCCACTTGGGTTACTGACTAGCCTTTTCTGCTCTATAACAAAAGTACAATCTGAACTGCATTCCCAAGATGCTGTGGGCCTGACAGATCACAGGATTTGAGGATCACGAAGGAATATGATTTTGTTTGCTGCAAGATATCTGATGGGGAGTTTCATCTTCCTAGGAACATCTTGGAGGCCTAATTTGGCATTAATGATCAAATATAAGATTTAAAAGGTGGAAGCTTAATGAGTGAAGTTTGTCATCACCCACAGCTAGTGCTCAGTGGAGTAAGAGGTTCAGAGGGGCCATCTCACAGAAGTAAGAGTGTGAGCACCAGTATGATAGGTGGATTCAATGAGCCAAGGCAAAGATGAAGATACATTAAGCATATGCAAACTGAGACACCTTTCATGTGGTCTCTCATTCCTCTTTGGATAGTGTGACCATATTACTTTTAAGGAAATCTGGGACACCGCCCCCTCAAGTCTGCAGTGCTGTTGCAGGCAGCGGTGTTCTTGGTGGTGCTTGCCTGGTGCCCAATGCCGCTCTACTTCCATGCCAGACTGAGTCCCACATCCTTGCGATTCCAGGACTTGTTTTAATTTTCACTAACTGGCTCAGATTGGCCTATGAAACCTGGAACTGTCCTGCCCAAACTGGGATGTGTGGTCACCCTATCTTTGCAGGATGAGGCAAAAGAAGTGTAAAAATAAATAAAGAATAATATATGCACTTCATTTATGTCATATTTCTACCATTGCAAACGATTTAAATGTCTGATGTGAGCCATAGAAATAAAATCCCAGGTTATCTAACTTACCTCAATGGCTTTGCTGGAAGTTTCTAATCCAACCATATTAGCTTGTATTATTTGTTGCAGAAGTTGTACTTGAGCCACACTGAGGAAGAAATCCAGGTTTGTGGTCACATTCACCTCTAAAGAATGGCCACACACTAAAATCTCCTATGGAGAAAAATAATTCAAAACACTTGTTAACAAATTCCAGATAGAGAATTTACAGTTTCTACATGACCTATAAAATTTAAGCTATTTAAAAATGTTAATTATGATTGTTAAATCTGCTTATCCTTAACTAGCAGAGACTGGCATACCAATTATAAAGTCTTCTGATGAAGGCACAGTTTGATATCTTACTTGCTTCCAACAGCCTATGTAACCATCGAGACAAACTATATCTAAGTGTTTCATGCGTGAGGTCTTGTTTCCGTTTCTTTGTAGTATCAAATAGTGGACAATCAGATTTTTGTTTTTCATTTTCTTGGCAATGGATTACAATTCTCCTTTCCCCTCTTCTTCCAAAAGATGTACTTTTTTGGAATATAAAATAAGTTTGATTTATAATGAAATCATGTATTGGAACTTGCTGATAACCAGCCTAATTGATTTCTGTTTACTTGTAAACCACTATTAATAACTTGGCAGAGTTAGTTGGATGACCACTATTTTATTGGTATTATATAGCACAGCTAAAGCTCTAGACCACGGTTGGCAGGCAGTACAGAGATGAAAAATAGAACCAGTCCAGAAAGGTTGATAAATAAGCAGAAGCACTGCCCTCTTCATGAGAATCTCGTTTGTTTTCAAATGTTTAGTAATCTATGTAGACCTCTTTCTTCACCAGTAAGTGTCTCTGAGGGAATAAGTAACAAGGAGAATCTGACTCATAAAACATTTACATTCCTGAACATGAGCATTAGTAAATTTTAGACGTTACTGATTACTGAATCCTTTCTGTGCATCTCAGCTATCCCCCAATATTTGTTTAAGTTAAACTCTTTCCAGCCCACACTTTTGATGGCATTTTACATTAAATGTTTCAATTTTCCCCTCATATAGCCAGTCTATTCATTCTGCTTAAGTGTGTACCTGTAACCTATAGTTCAAATATGCCTTTTTATTCCTGCCTCAGTTTTGCCCTCCCCAGGAGGTAGCTATTATGAGAGATCACTCCTGCTTGCTGGCCAGAAATGACTGGCACCTCCTGACATATAAAATTTTTAAGTTCCCTTGTGCCATGCTAATGCCAAAAAATGAACCACAATCTCTTGTGTGTACAAGGTCCCGTAGGCTTATTGTTAATGAGCTGGCCTACAGACTGGTAAAAGTTATTGCAAAATCTTTCCAATCGATGTGGTATATCTTGCACTACACCACTATTAATTTTGGGGTGGTATGCTTTTGGAAATTCTTAGCTTGGGAAGTTCAACTACAACAAAATCAGTTGATTCCTTTTTTGCTGAGACAATGTAGCTTTCAGATGTGTTTTCCAGGGTTCTAGGAAAAGTGTTTTTTAAATGTAACATTGTGTTGAATAGTGTTGAGAAGACGTGATTCATTAAAAAACCTTTAAAAATACTGCTGGAAACCATTAAAAGATTCCCACTTTTGGCTTTTCAGACAGTGCCAAATTAGGTCTGCCTGTTGACAGCTTGTATTTAGGATAAAGCAATGTACATAATCATAAAAAATCCCAAACATCATTACATGGACATTTATCACAGAAAGTACATTACATGTAGTTATTAGGGTCTTAGTTTTATTTTTCTCTAGTAGCTGATGCTCTCTGTATCAAGAAATTTGTCACACTTAGGGTTGCTCGACACATGCAGGTAAAGGCACAATGGGATCTAATGCATGATCCACACAATTGCGCTTTCTGCCATGCACATGTATGTACAATTGAGCTTTCTGTGTATGGCAAGAGTGATAGTGGGACTGCGCAGTAAATCCCATTGAGCCTTATCATGTGTGCAGAGGGAGCCTGGGATCATGATCTCAGCCTCCCACTGCACCAGCTCCCATGACTGCAAGCCCCGCAGCTGACAGGGCTCACAGGGGGGACAGTATTCTGTGTGCCGCCCCCGCTGCAAGTCCTATAGCCAACATGGGCTACAGGGCTCGTAGTGGGGGCTGCGGGTGTTGCAGTATGGGGAGTAGGGAGAATGCTGCTGCTGCTGTGAGCTTCATGAGGGGTGGGGCTTCACAGCAGGGAGAATGCTCCTGCTGCTGCGAGCTTCGTGAGATCAGGGGCAGGCAGCGGCAGTAGAATTCTCCCCGCTACCCCCACTGAGAGTCCTGCAACCAATGACAATGTCCCTGCTGCGAGCCCTGCAGCCAATGAGGCTTGCAGTGGCAGGTCTTGTTAGGCAAGACCTGATAAAGTGAGACAAACAGGATGTGGACTTACACAATTCAATGGACCTTTGTGTACATCTGATGCATCAGGTCTCTCCTCATTTCCTTCTTTAGGATGAGGACTATTTATTTCTGTGTGTTTGTACAGCACCTAGCACAAGGGCATCCTGAGCAAATGGAGGGCCACGATTAGGTGCAATCATAATGTTGTTAAATAAAAAAAGATCTGTCCCTAAAATACAGATAACAATCACTATCTGTGTCAGAGTAAAATACCGAAGTCAACAGTACTTTTTAAAGCTATTCCTATGTATAAACACTTTATTTTAATATTGCTTACTAGAACAATATCAATATCAAAATGTGCTACTGGGACAACAGTTTACATGTTAACATGCTGTTCTTTTTTTCTGTTTTTTCTTGATACTAACCTCTGTGTGCAAATTCTCTGGTGCAATTACTTTTGTGAAAATAATCGCAGGAGCAGCAGTTATTCGAACTGTGAAATCTGTTAAAATTGGAGTCAAAATTGCTCTTCGTTCTTGATGTCGCTTTATGCTGAAAGAAAGAAAGAAAGAAAAAGGGAAGAGATCATAACATCACATGTTCTTCCTATGTACAGTGCACCTAGTACAGTGGTTTTCAACCTCATTAGGCTCAAGCCACTCCTTGGAAAATGTGTCAGCTCTTAGCTTTCACTTGTTTCTTGACTATGGCAAAATAATAGCGCAATTCTTCTGTTGCAAAGTAGTCAAAGCCCACAATAGGTCAGAATGTTTTTGACACTATTGATTCTTATTTGAAATCTCTGGGTTTATCTTGTGAATCATGTGCAGGTGTTTACACACCAGCAGTGCTAATATTGTGCAGCACCCCATAGCATCCTGGTTGAGAATTGCTGGCCTAGTACAACAAGGCTTCAAACCTGCTTGGGACATTTGGGTGCTACCACAGTACAAACATTTATTAATAATTAATAATCACAGTGGTCACAACTCTATAGTCCCAACCCTAAAATCAGTGGGGCTCCATGCAGGACACAGCTAAGTGCAGGGCCAATGCTAATAATTCAAATACATTACTTTACAATTAGGATTACATTATACAATTCTCTAATGATAACTGTTAATACTTTGTGCAAATCCACAGTGTCTTCAGTGTGTTTAGTAAACATTTGATTCTGCAATCTAATGTATACTGACCTATGCAGAATGATTTGTTATTTGTTGGTTATTTTTCTGCTGAATTCAACTGTTAAAAACTACTGTGAAATAAGTTAAACCTTGCCTATCAGAACTGTAAATTACATAAAAACAGCATGTCAGTGAATGTTCTTCACTTTATAAATAGCTGGTTTTGAAACCTTAACAAAATATTTAATTCCTACATAAAAACACTTAAAATAAAACAGTTAAAGATCCTAAAATCAAGGACAAAAAAAGGTAAGACATCTTATGCCACATAGCATATACTCTATCACTCACATCTTATCACTAACATAACTTACTGACCACTATAAACTATGCATAGCCATCTAATTATTTTCCCAGGTACAGGAATGGCAGCCTTCAAATATTTTCTTATGCAATTCATTGCCCTAAATTAACTGCTTCTAATCAGGACAGTGACATTCCATAAACATGTGTGTCAGTGATCTGGATAATTAGGCTGATTTCTGGTTGTTCTTCATTGTTTCCATAATGCAAGCCTAAGGCATTTTTCCATGTTAAGGATGCACCAATCAATCGTGCTTGTTGACATATCTGTGCAAGCACGGATCTTTCTGTCAGTTCAACTAAACTACTGAAACAAAACTTGGTCTATGAGACCCTCCAGTGCCTTCCTTTCTGATGAAGAAAAAAGGAACACAATGAAATTAGGCGATGCTCACCCCAACATCATCCTGCTGGTGTGAGTTTTCTGAGTGGTACTGATGGAGACACTGTCTCAAGATGGAAAAAGTCCAAGTGAGATCTCGTCTACTTACTTTTCTTACAGAGAAAAGATAATCCCTAGATTCCATAAAGGCAAACTCTAAAAAGTGCTAGAACATTCACTAGATAACTAACAACTAACCATGTTTCAGGGGTGTAGGTTGTAGCTGTGTTAGTCTAAGGCAGTGATCTCCAAATTTGTTATGGTGAAGATAATTTTTTGTAAGTAAAGGGTACTCCAGAATCTACTGCCCCTGCCCTGCCTCCCACCCCCTTGCCTCCCGGGCAAGCCGCCTAGGCTCTGACCGAATTCACCCAGCCAGCCCAGGTGGCAGGGGGCGTGGCTCAGCCCAGCCACATGTGGCTTGCTGCTCCAGGTTGTGGAGCCTCTGACAGACTGAGATCGACTGTCAGAGGCTCCACGATCAACCAGTCAATCAAGATTGACTGGTTGGTGACCACTGGTCTAAGGACACCATGGATGTTACCAGCCTACCAACATCCCACACCAGGATGGCATTCAAGCCTGCCTTACATATCTGCAAGAACAAGATTGCAGCTCAGAGTACAGAACCCAAAGATATTACACTTCATCCTCACACGAAACAACTTCATTTTCAATAACCAACACTTCCTCAAGACCACGGGCAGAGCCATGGGCACCAAAATGCCCCCACATTATGCCAACCTGTTCATAAGCCACTTGGAAGAAAAATTCTTCAAGGACTGCACCATCAAACCCTTGCTATACTTAAGATATATCAATGACATCATCATCATTTGGACTGAAAACCTACAATCTGATTGATTTCCATCAGAAATTCAACATGCAGCACCCCTCCATCAGACTATCACCGGAATACTCCAACACCAACATTCACTTTTTAGACACGATGGTTACTATCCAGAATGGTACAATAAGGACCATCATATACAAGAAACCCACAGACCAACATACATATCTGCACAGAACCAGCAATCACCCTAAAAACACCAAGAAAGCTGTAATATATAGCCAAGCTCTCCGATACCACTGAAGAGAACACCCATGATCACCACTTCACAAATCTCAAAAGGACCTTCACTCAACAAGGACACTCCTCCAGGGAAATAGATCACGCTTTTGAAAGAGCCACCCAGATACCACATGAAGAATTGCAGCAATACAGAAGAAAAATCCCCATGAATCGCACGCCACTGGTTAGGACATATCACTCCTCCCTGGAACCTATACGGAAAATCCTCAAACTGCAACCCACACTAAAAGGAGACCCAATTCTCACAGAGATCTTCCCAGAACCACCCATCCTAGCCTTAAACAAGCACCAAACCTCACCAACCTCATCACCAGAAGCAAACTTCCTACAGCCCTAAACACACTAAATGGAGCCAGACCATGCCAGGACAAGAAATGTAAAACTTGTCAACACACCTCCACCATCCCCACAATTACTACACCCCATAACAGAGCCATCAACATTCCTGGATATTACACCTGCACCTCCAGATTGTAGTATCTCATCCAGTGCACCAAATGCCCTGATGAAAAATATGTCAGAGAAACCAAACAACAACGGTGCACCAGAATGAATGCACAGTGGAAATGTATCAAAGATAAGAATACCCAATTACCGGTGGGGGCACACTTCTCACAAGAAAACCACCCTCTCCAATCTCTCAGTTCTAATCCTCAAAGGGAATTTACAAAATACCTTTCACAGATGAGCGTATTAACTCCACTTCATGAATCTACCAGATACAAAATTCATGGACTAAATATAGACACTGGATTCATGACACATTATAACCTGCCTAATATCTGACTTCCCAGGTAAAACTTCCATTTTTTACCAGCTATTCTCATTCCCTCATTCCCGCCACCCTCCTTTTTCCCATCCTTTGACTACAGCTACATTCATTCCCCCTTTCCCCTTCCCCTTCCTGTCTCTCACCTACTGACCACTTCAATTTACATTTTACCTGACTGGCTTTCATGCATACATACTGGCCTCTGACTGCTTTACCACTCCATCCAGGAAGAGCACGGACCATCTGCATACACTTCCTCAGCCTGATGAAGGGCATTTGTGCCTGAAAGCTTGCTAAGAAGAACTTTTCCAATTATTTGAGCTGGTCTAATAAAAGATATTGGATTTACCCAAAGAACCTTGTCTGCCTAACAACTAACCATGAACTCACTGTTGAACAAATAACTGAAGTTAAAACAATACACTAACCATCTTAATACATTTCCCAACACAGGGGAATGACTGATTATGCATTTCCTTTGAGGTGGGAAAGAAATGAAGGTTATGCAGTCAGAAGGTATATTTGCAGCACATGATGGCATACCTCCCATTAGCTTTCATTTAGGTAGCATGAGTAACCATAAGAGCACTAGAGACTTCAGTATAGACAATACAAGCCTGACAGGAACTGTGGGCACATGCCTGGGTTGCTGCCATATCTTGAATGTTATTGTTACCCATGGTAGCTAGAAGAGAAAGCTTTCTGTCCTGCAATCACACCCCTACACTGCAGTGCAGACACACCCTGTGATACATTTATGGCAGGGAGGGGCATGGGGAAGGACACATACACATCTCAGCAGAGCTTCTTCCTTTGAAATAGGTTTGGCTGCAGATCACAATCTTTCAAAGGGGCCATCTGTAGACCAAATGTTACACAGGAGAAAAAGTAAATGGGTATCACAATGTTTTTTGAATGGGATAAGGCTCACACTTATATTAAATTTCTAATAGGAACAATAACAGAGATAAGGGTCTACTATTTAGAACCCCTTGTTTTTTGTTACTTTGAAACTTACACTGGTGACAATTATGTTAAGTGCTCTGGAGGTACGCAGAAAGCATGGTAAATTATAAAGGGAGGTGTACCTTTAGAGATAGTTAGGCCTCAGGCTATTTAAACTTATCTGTAGCTATTTTATAAAGAATTTGAAAGCTGTAGAGCACAACATTTCCTCAACACAGGTAAATGCTTTTTACCTGTGGGAGAAGTGGGTATCTGCATTAAGAGAAGGTTCTGAATGCCTTTCATGTCTAGTCCCATGTAGAGCATAGTACAGTAGTTTAATCCAGAGGTAACAATGGAATGACAACTGTGGCAAAATTAGAATCACTGAAAAACCTAGTCCATGAAAAGAAATTATTCCAAGACATTTGGAGAGCACAGCAAATTGACAAATGCAATCAGTGATGAAAGAAGTCAGAAATTATGAAGTTCCAGAAATGTTTTTCCTGACCATCAACATCACCTCAATCTTAAATTTACACCAAACGACATTCTTTTCGGTTCTGTACTTATTCCATAATGGGAAGGAAAAGTAGTGGTTTTCTCTTTGGTGAAGAAGAAGCAGAGCTGAGGGATGAAGGCATAATGATATGAAAAAAGGTAGGCTGGTACACTTTGGATAATTTTCTGCTCAAATGTACATAACATTATTGATAAATATGACTTTGGGCCCCTCTACACATTATGGGTACTGCATAATTTACTGGTTAATTGCACAATCACCTGGAGACCAGCTGCACGTGCAAAAGTAGCTATCACACCATAAAAAGCTCCAACCAGCTGTAAAATTAGACCTCAAAAATGTGTACT